AGATACGAGTTCTTTTTAATAAAGCGCTTCAAACTTTAACTCTCTACTAGTACTCGGAGCCTGGCACGTTTCCAACCCTACAAGGTCAGTAAACATTGTAAAATGGCCCGCGAGCGCAAATAAAAAAGGCGTATGCGCACGCTCTCTCTTTCCTACACTCTATACGAGCGCCTTTTATAGAAACACACAGTATGGATTCATCACGTTACAGCCCAATAGCCCCCCCACCTCCACCCCCACCCCCGCTGTTACAGACCATTTGGTCACGGATTGTAAGCAATGTGTGCAGTTCACACGCTGTCGTTTCGGCAGATTATACTCTTAATATATAGCTCTTTGCGGTATAAATCACTGAAACATGACTCCCATCTTAACGTTAATATTTCTTTTACTCGACTTTGACAGAACAGCCAGGTGCTGAAAAACGCAGCTTTAGAAATAACCACAACGTGATGATGGTCATTTGGTGACTCTTGGGAAATGACTGTTTTATGAAGACGGCCTCCTGCTTTATAGAGTATATATAGGACTCCATTGAAGAGTCTCAGTGTGCTTCCAGACCTTTTCAATAAGAGGGAAATCGATGCTTTATTTGGATTTGTTAGTCAGTTCAAATCTCCAGAACCACATGACCTTCCTGTAGCGCTACAGCTCTGTCATTTGGCTCGGTGCAACAACTTGCATCCACAACAAAAAAAAACGCCGCGACCCAAAGCACATTGGTGTTGGAGTCACTTCCTGCAGCTGAAACGATTCCGAGTCAAACGACCCTCTCTCACTGCAAACGAACCGCACTAGAGGTCACTTGGAAGCGCTCCGTGAGCATCTCGCTCGTACGGTGGTCTCTCTCCGCTTCCAAGTGAACTCCAGTGACATGCGTGAGGTACGGATTAAAAAGAGCGCGGTTTTTATCCAACTCCTAATTTGGATTAAAAACCACAATTCGAAACCTGATATGGATTTCGTTCTTAAAATAATAATAATAATAAGCTTGTGTAAAATCTCGTGTAATACCTTTCAACACAGCTGAACACATGACCCCTGAGCCGAGACGCTGAATATGTTTCTCTCAAAAATGCGCGAAAAACATTATCAAACATCTGCTTTTCTACTCACGGTTTGAAAGCTTCGGCGCATTGCAGGAGAGAGAGACGTGTTAATCCGAGCTGTCATGGACACGCACTCCGAGATGCACCATTGGAAAGGTGCGTCCTTTCTTTATTTAACATCAGCAGTGTGTGAGAGTGTGTGTGTGTGGGAGATCATACAGTACTCTAACCTCTACAGAACTCCATCACGTGGTATTAAAAGTAAGAAACATCAAACTTGGAGTTCAGGTGTGCATTAACGTGAAGCTAATTCCACAAGACAGTGCCCTCGTTTCGGTAAAAGCGCCGATTGATTTTCCTGGAGTGGTTTCGCTTGGCGTGCTCACGATTAGTTCCGCATGTCCAACAAGCTGAAACAACTGAAGCATCGAAATGAAACATTTGAGACTACGAGAGACGAGGTTTTACCAAAACCCACAGAATGTGGTCTAAAAGTCACCGCAGTGTTCAAACTGAGGGTCGAAATGTGTTTGTGAAAGACTTGTCTGGTCAGATCGCTGCACTGATTAATGATGATGCAGAGACAGAGAGAGACTGAGACGGCGAGAGAGATACAGAGAGAGAGAGAGAGAGAGAGAGAGAGAACAGACTGAGACAAAGAGAAAGAGAGAGAGAGATTGAGACAGCGAGAGAGATACAGAGAGAGAGAGATTGAGACAGCGAGAGAGATACAGAGAGAGACAGTCTGAGATAGGGAGAGAGAGACTGAGACAGAGAGAGACACACCCAGGAGAGAGAGAGAGAGAGAGAGAGAGTGTGTGAAACAGCAAGAGAGACAGAGAGAGAGAGACTGAGGTAGAGAGATACAGAGAGAGAGAGAGAGAGAGAGACAGACTGAGACAGAGAAAGAGAGAAAGAGAGAGAGACAGACAGAGAGAGAGACGCACACAAACAGAGAGAGAGAGAGTGAGACAGCAAGAGAGAGAGAGAGAGAGAGAGACTGAGACAGCAAGAGAGAGACAGAGAGAGAATGTGCAGTTCTTCTGTAAAAATAACCCAGTCACGGAAGGGCCACATCACAACAATATCACGATTCTTAAACGCATTTCTACGATATAGATTTGCATCGTGTTTTAACAGGACGGTCAGGTTGTAATTATTTATAAACAAATGATGACCAGATATCCATGACATCTGAGGAAAAAGCTTATTGGGTCAATTCATTCCAATATTCCAATATCCCAGTTCAAACCCCAGGTTTCCTTCTGCTCGCTCTTTTCCATCATCATCTCCTGCCGAAACCAAAACGTGTTTAAAACCCAGAAGGATCAAATTTAAACACACGTTTAAATGGACCAGTCAGAGAGACACATTTACACGTTTATCTAACAAACAAGACCTCAGTGAGAGCTTTGAGGACAAGCTGAGCCTTTGAGTTTTCCATGGAGTTTACACGTCCTGTAACGTGACGAGCTGCGATTATTTCTGTCCATATTTACTTCGAGAGAGAGGGACTGGTGAAGGAAACGACTGGTTACAGCTGCTACAACGTGATGAACTCGCTAGTTTCATGGGTGTTCCACAACTATAAAGACATTTAAAAACAAAAAGTAGAACGTGTAAACAAAAACACAGCAGACCTGCTTGACGGATAAATAAACTTCGGAGTGAGAACAATAACTCATTCCATCCTGTTGTTGATAGAACATCACAACACAGAACGCTCTGTTCCTTGCTTAACGTCTGACTAGTGAAGTTTTGCGTTAGTCAGGTAACGTAGCGTCCGAGAGCGAGACGCAGAGACAGAGAGAGAGAGAGAGAGAGAGAGAGAGAAGAGAGAGAAACGCTTACCTGCGATGCAGAGGCCGAATATACTCAGCAAGACCAGGATGTAAAGGGAAACGATGGCGTACTTGATGGCGGACAGAGAGTCCAAGTGGCCGCAGCAGCTGTCGGTCTTCCTCCGCCGCTTTCCAGAACTCGCTGCACAAGAGAACAGGATAAAGGTGAACGAGGAAACCAGGGCCGTCCCACAGGAATACGGTTAAACGTTTCTCTTCCTGGCCGAGACGCGACGGGAAAAGGTATTTCGTGACGTAATACATGTAGCGCATCATCGAGACAACCAGAGAGTGAGAATGTCACATGGACGGACATGACGTTTGCTTCCATAGATAAAACGCCCTTTAGAATTATATTTATTTATTGAAATAATTGAATTAAATTATATTTACGGCGCATGGTGGCTTAGTGGTTAGCACGTTCGCCTCACACCTTCAGGGTCGGGGGTTCGATTCCCAACGTGGCCCTGTGTGTGCGGAGTTTGCATGTTCTCCCCGTGCTGTGGGGGTTTCCTCCGGGTGCTCTGGTTTCCTCCCCCAGTCTAAAGACATGCATGGTAGGCTGATTGGCGTGTCTAAAGTGTCCGTAGTGTATGGATGGGTGTGTGAGTGTGTATGTGATTGTGCCCTGCGATGGACTGGCACCCTGTCCAGGGTGTACCCCGCCTTGTGCCCGATGCTCCCTGGGATAGACTCCAGGTGCCCCGTGACCCTGAAAAGGATAAGCGGTATAGAAGATGGACGGATGGAAGAATTAAATGATTGTATAAGATTTTTCATAAGATTTGTGCATGCTAATGGACGACAAAAGGAGCTTACGTGTGTGTGCAGAATCAAATTTATACCCCAGGACACTGAAAGTCGGAATTTTCTGATTATACGCGATCTCCGGACACTCTTTACTTCCCCGGAACACACCTCAAGGATAAGTCCATATTCAGCGAGCTAGAATTTGAACGATCGGGATCATGTCGGTGTTTATGTGACCTGAGTATGATCAGAGTTTTACATTACCGAGCCCAGCTTTAATAAACACACTTATTAAGACTTAAATAACCAGCTCCTGGAAATGCTTTCCAAAAGCATGACTCGCTCATCCGCGGTCTCGTCTTCTCGTCGGGTTATTAGGTGTCTAGATATTTGCACGTCTTTGACTCATAAGTACCAGCGGACATGTTTACACCACTTTTATGCTCGGCGGGGCATTTAGGAACTAAGTGAAGCAAGCTGGCGCTCCTAAAACGTTGTAAATGTTTTTTTTGTTTTTTTTTAAACATCTGAGCCCCCCCCCCCCCCCCTCCATTCCTCAACTAGCAAATACTCTCTTCACAGATGTCAAAACACTTGCTGGTTCCCATTGCAGCTCAGGGAGGGAGAAGAAGAAGAAGAAAAAAACCCAGTTGGATTTGAGCAGCTCACACAGCTCCGCGTGACACACCCAGCTGTTCTGCTGTCAACACTCCAGACTCAAGGTTGGTTTATTGCCCAGCATGCTCTCTGATTCTCTCCGCTCTGGGATCAGGCATCATGTGGCCACTGAATTATTAGGCAAATATCTTTTAGAATGGTGAGACTAAAGTGCTAAATTTTAAACAAACAGGAAAATATCAGTTTTTATTCTTCTACCCAGGATATAATGGTTTAATTAGGTTATTAAATATGTCAAAGTGTCAATCACGAGGCAGTTTTCGTCCGTCCTTGTTAGAGTACTTTTGATGGCACATCCGCAGGAGATTTAAAAGCCTGATTGTCTCCCCTTCGCTCTCGAATATTTGAGCTTACCTTCTTCACAGAGGTTGAGTTTGGACAGGTTCCGTCCATCGTAGCCCTCCTCATAAAACGAGCCATTGTCTCGCTCCTCATATGTGCTCAGGTACATGGCCTTGTTCTCCATTCAGGAACTAAAGCAGGAGAGAGACATTCAGAACCACCATCAAGAGCTGAGCTGAACCAGAACCAATCAGAACCATCCTTGCTGAATCTTATTTTTAACCAGGACACTGAAGACCACAATCTTGACCTTTTAGTATCATAATATGTTAATGATTCATAGCATCAACATGGACAGAGCTGATCAGATTCTCCATCACATGCACATCATGTTCAGTCAGAGTTTGTGGGACAGTGGTACAATGAAAAATGCATCTCACTATGAATCAGAAGATTCTAGGTTCAGCTCTTAGCAAACTCTACCCTCTACGGCAGTGGAAGCTCAGTGGTTAAGGGTTACCAAAACAGGAAGGGATTCAAGCCCAAGCACTGTCTAGCTGCCACGGTTGTGCACTTGTACAAGGCCTCATAGCTGACCCTACGCTCTGACCCAAACTTCCTAACAAGCTGAAAAGAAGAGAGAACAGTTTTACTAAACTATAATGTACACGTGACAAATAATGGCTTTCGACTACTCTTTTCTTACCATCTCACCTATTCAAAACCACCATCACATCCATTCATTCTGATCCATTCTATACTCATTTAGAACCATCTTACCCAGTCCAAACCAATATCGTACCCACGCCAAACCACCATCTGACCCATTCCAACCCAATGGGAATTATTTAAAACCATTTTGCGATATTAGAACCATCTTACCCACTCCAAACCAATATGTTACCCATGTAGAACCATCTGACCAATTCCACACCAACGCAGTACCCATTTAGAACCGTCTAACCTAGTCCAAACCATTATGGTACCCACTCCAAACCATTATGGCACCCACTCCAAACCACCATCTCACCCATTCCAAACCACTATGGTACCCATTTATAACCATTTACCCATTTATACCCATGATTTAGAAGCATTTCAAACCACCATCTTTCCTATTCTGAACCAGCAATTTATCCATTTAGGACTATCTTTGGCATATCTATTCCAACACATCCAACCCATTCCGAAACCAAATGTTACCCAGTTAGAACAATCTTACCCATTCTGAAACACCGTCTTTCCCACTCCAAACCAATATGCTACCCATTTAGAACCATCTGATCAAGTCCGAAATAACAGTACCCATTCTAAACCAATATGTTGCTCATTTAGAACTACTTTGCTACCTCTGACTCAATCCGAACAGCTACCTTTCCCATCGCAAACCAGTGTTACCCATCTAGGACAGTCATCACCATTTGGAACCATCTCCACACCCGATCTATTCTATTGAGCCCACTGCTGCAGACCACAAGGGGAATCATGATAAGTGTAGTCTAACTGTCCTATATCAGTAAAAGTTATTATCCATAATTAAAAGAAATGTAGAATACATTAAATAAACCCAAACCCATGAATCTATTTGCATTCAATGTGACTCTTGGGTTAAATTTTCAGCTATAATAACATAGCCACACAACCTGCCCTGCATAATTACGATCACACTCATGAATGCGTGGCATTGTGTCCTTTCACAAATGAGAAACACACTCCGCAAAGCGATGCTGTATGCTAAAAACGTCCTACGTTTTCCATTACCTCGGCTACAGGTGCCTTGGATTGAGTTTCTGGACATGAATCACATGCCTTGGCTTTAAAAACAACATGACGAATAACACGCAGTACGCTCCAAGCTGGCTTTAAACGGTCTAGTAAAACAAGTGACAGTCAGTGTAATCCAGGGTGCGTACAGACAAGACTGTGTGTGGCTTTTCCTTTTTATTGGCATCATCATCCGAGTGATCTCATCATAGTTTTTTTTGGGAGGGAGGGGGGTGTTTGTTTTGAGTTCAAAGTTTGCAGGTTGAGCATGGACTAAATGGATTATTACATTAAATTATTAGAAAACATGAAAATTCCATGTTACATTAGTCCATATGGCCACACTTCTAATTTGAACATTATGATTTATGCTACATTTAAGTTAACACATTACAGCGTACATTATTCAGCTACAGCAATATACAGTCTGGAAGGAAACCCCATTCAAGGCCATATTATAAGATAATGGATGGAATGGAAAGGAATATAAATGACGGATGGGAGGGAAGGATGGATTTATGGATGGATGGATGGATGGTTCCCTGAATAAAGTGAATGGAATAAATGAATAAAGAATAAGGAAATAAGGGAATGAAAAGAGGGAGAGAATGTAAGGGAATTAAGAAATTATGGTATGGATGGATTGATTGGAAGAAAAAAAGGAAGGAAGCAATATGATGAAAGGAATGAAGAAATTATGTATGATGAGTTGGATGGATGGATGGAAAGAAATGCAAACAATGATGGATGGAAAGATCGAAAAAAGGAATGGAAATGATGAATGGATGAGAATGAAGAACTAATGGATGTAAAAATGCAAAGAAATGAAAAAATTATGGATAGGTGGATGGATGGACCAAGATAAGCAGAAGGAAAGAATGAAGGACGCAATATGATGAAAAGAATGAAGAAATTACTGTATGTATGAAGGGTTGGATGAATAGATGGATGGATGGATGGATGGATGGATGGATAGATGGACAGATTGATAGAAATGGGAAAATTGTTGGATGGAAAAAAGGAATGGAAAGGATCGATGGATGAGAATGAAGATATGATTGGAGGAATGGAATGAAATGAAATGATTGATGGATGGAAGCCAGTCTGCTAGAAGTAAGTAACATTCATTAAAAAATTTTACACAAAAAATGTAACTATAAATGGATAAAAAATTATTGGAATATTGCTTAAGTATAAGAGTATAAGAGGAATAAAGCACTTCAGGACATGCTGTTATGGGAAACTGAAATCATTTTGGGTGGTAATAATGACACCACTTCATCACACGACTGGTCGTTTATTAGTTTCCTAGAACAGCATGACACCAAATAGTTTATTCCTTACTTGACTGTATTAATCATTTATGTTAATAAATGTACTTCAATGTAGAGTTTAGACAGATTTCTCTCATTTTATGATTAGAATTACTCTCATAATTAACCACAAAAACTTTTCTTGTCATTTCATTTTAACCCGTCTCTACCAAGGGTGCCAATAATTCTGGTTGAGATTCATGAATGCTTGTTCACATGCAGTGCACATGTATAAAAGGTTCTTGTTGAGTAAGTGTAGGGATGAACTTTATCTTTATTGTGATAAAAACAACATGAGATGTGCGTTACATTCGCATGCGATGATGCTGAGGTTTAGAAAATGAGGGGACACGATGACATCACTGAGACTCCAGTTATTATCTGACTCATGAGGGTTTTCTTTTTCCTTCAGAAAGTCACGCTCGACCTACAGAGATGAGGGACGAGCCGCGAGAGCGCTGTTTATCGAAGTCATTAAAAACGGCTTCATCACTGGAGTTTTCATTAAGCGCTGCATGTGTGTGCTGACATTTAGGAGTCTGCTGGCAGGCTCGGCTGCTAACACACACATGCGCTGCTAGGAAACTGGGACTAGAGTTAAACACTGTCAGAACCAGAAAAGACCCTGTGAAAGTGCAAACCTCCTGTCCAATGTTCTTAGAAAAGTTCTCTGTCTATCTCTCTGATGAACAACGCTTTAATACTCATTTCCTGTTCGCTGTTCAGCAATGCCTGTTAATCCAGGTGTGTGTTATATCGAGACACACACACAGGCAAGCAAGCAGAGAGACAGACAGAGTCAGAAACACAGACAGTTGGAGACAGACAGAAAGTGGTCGCCAGAGAGCGAGAGAGACAGACAGACAGATAAACAAACAGATGCAGACAGACAAACAGTAGTAGACAGAGACATAGACAGAGACAAGCAGATGGAGACAGACTGTGAGACACAGATACAGGCAGAGACAGGCAGAGAGACATGAGCAAACAAATACAAATAAAGACACAAAAAGATAGAAACCAACAAAGACAGAGACAGACATGTAGAACAGTTTCGAGTGGGTGTGGCCTAAAATACTACTATTCTAATGAACCAGAAATGGTGTGTAAGGCAGCAGTAGCGCTAACCCTAGCCTTACTCACTGAACTTACTAAAACTACAGCCATCCGCCCAGCGTGAAATCAGGGACAGCTGTGATTTTTTTTTCTTGTCTTCCTTTTTACAGGACAATGGCTCAAAAACAGTAGAGGGCGTCCTGACCAGCTGTCTCACCGTGTAGTACAGGAACCTCACAACCTCAGACCGCAAGACCCTACAGTGAACTGTGAGAACATCTGAAAAGATCATCTGGGTCTCTCTACCCACCAGCGACACCTCATACAACATCCGCAAGGCCAGCAGTACTGCAGACGACCACTCGCACACCTCTCACGGACTCTTCACCCTCCTGCCTCCTTCAGAAGGTACAGGAGCGTCCGTCCCACCACCATCAGACTCCACACCGACTCCACACCCTGCTGCCTCCCAATGCTTACAAGGACTGGTCAAACACCTAACCGAGTAAGCCTCAGTACCGCTCCAGACCGCACTTCACATAGCAACATCAGACACTTGCTCTGCTGCCCATATTGCTGCTATACTCGTGCTGCTACATTACGCAATAGTTTACAGCCCGTATTGTGTACTTATTGTCTTGCACTCGTCTCACACTGTTGTGTATTTGCACTTTATGTAGTCGTGCACACTGTTCTGTGTTGCACAATGGTGTTGAAGATATGACAATAAAAACAAACTCGACCGGATATGAAGTATGACGCATCATTCTTTATTTAACATCTCACCACTCTCTCGCTGATTATTTTCCCATAACCGCACCACACTGACCACTTTAATCTGTACTTACATTGGAATACTGCCAGTAAGATATGTTCTACTCCACATGCCGTAAATCTCCTCATATATTTGCTCACTAACGACCAAATTTTTGGTTTGGACCTTGGACCTTTGGCTTGGAACCCGAGCAGAAAGGTGAAATGATGGACTGCGAGTATTAAGAGCAGGATGAAAAGTAAAAAAAAAAAATAAAGAAAGATGGCAGAGATGCTGACTCAAGTGAAACACAAGATTACACCAAGACTGACACGAGATAACGCACTCATCATCAATCTGGACGAAGACACACCATCGATGACCTCGTAATTACGCAGGTCTGGAAGATTCCACATACACAAGTACAAATATGTATCAGCGCAGTGTAATTCACTGTTAATTGTAATTCTGTTTAGAGATTATTCTTCCCGTTGTAAATCTGCATGGCTCATGTGATGACATCGACGCTCTGATTCTTCTACGTCTGGACCTGCAGATGAAACAAGCGGCACAAAACATCTCCAGGAACTCCAC